TGGGGAAAGATTTGTTTCCATTTTCGGTTTTTAAAACCAGAGTAATTGTTTATAATACCAGGACTCTTCACTTTAGGATTTTGTTCTCTATTATACTTATTAGTGGAAAAAGGACTAGAATGATGAGGAAGTAGGTGATGGATGCTAGCTGACCAATGGTGATGTAGGGACATTCAACTGGTTGTCCTCCAATTCATGTGAAATGAGTAGATTGGCTACTAGTAGTAGTCGAAGGAGGCATTGGCTGAGGGGGCAGAATGTTATGCTGCATTGCTTTGATAGGTGTAGCATTGGAATAAGGCTAAGATTAGGATAGAGAATACAAGGGCTAGAACTCCTCCTAGTTTGTTGGGAATGGAGCAGGGAATTGCATATTCGAATGGGAAATATCACACTGGTTTGATATCTGGGGGTGTGTTTAGGGGACTAGCAGGGGTATAGTTGTCTGGGTCTCCCAGGAGACCGGCTGTAAAGAGGACCAGGGATAAGAGTATATAAGAATCCTGTGATATCTTTGATTGTGTAGCAAGGGTGAAATGGGATTTTATCGCAGTCAGAATTGAGTCCCGAGGGGTTGTTTGATCCTGTTTCGTGAAGGAATAGTAGGTATACTATAGCTAGGGCTGCGATGATAAAGGGTAGGAGAAAGTGAAGGCAAAGAATCCTGTCAGGGGAGCTTTAACTACTGAGAATCTGCCTGAGAGTTTTTGGAGGCATTTTTTGCCTTGTTTTTTTGTCTTTCTAGTGTATGTGTATGTGTGTGTCTGAGTGTGTGTTCTGAAGGTTGTGGGTCAATTATAATATTGGGAAAACTTTATTATTAGTTTGGGGATCTTTTTTAGTTGGTGTCAGTTTTTTAGTGATGCAAGCCGAGCCTGGCTAATTATGGATTTTTACCTCTGATGCAAGATCAAATCAGCTGTTAATTTGGGAGGAGAAGGTGCATTGTAATTTGTATAGCACCCAGTTCTCTGGAAATAAATCACAGCATTGTTGATGACAGAAAGACAAACCAGGTATTTGTATACAACAAATACCAATTAGTAGCAACAAATATGCTCTCCTGGCAATAACAACTGTCATGGTTTATGTTGGTGGCCCCCAGCCCTCATGCCTTTGCATTATGCTTTTGTGATTGGTTCATTGTCTAGCGCTTGGATTGGGGGAGTGAGTGCTACACTGGCCTAGGGGTGGAGCCAGGATGTGATGTTATGGCAGGAAGAAGGTATGTCTCTCTCTCTTGCCGGTTTCTGCCTTGCTGTTTGCAGCCGCCATGAACTGCCGCCTGCCATGCCATCCTGTCCTGGAGCCAACTGAGAATGGACTGAAACCTCCAAAAACTGTAAGAAATAAACCTTTCCTTTTCCAACTTTGGGCATCAGGTATTTTGTCTCAGCAATTAGTAAAAAGTAACTAAGACAACAACAAAATCATCAACAATGATAAAGTCAAAAACAAATTGGATACTGAGACACATAAAAACTAATAAAAGCTACCATTATATTAGATTTAATAATAGATTTGTAATTATAGTATAGACATAAAGAAAAGCAAATATTGACTTACAGTAACTATGTAACCAATTGTACTACTATTACGAATAGAAAATAATTCACAGAGTCAACTAAATAACTAAAGATTAATAAAGCTTAATTGTAATGCTAGTAAAGATGGAAGGGTGGGAAAGAGGAAATAAAGTAAAATTTGAAGGATAGAGAAAAGAAAAATAATAAGGGGAGAGAAAAATGAGATAAAAGATTCTATTAAGGAGTAAAACAAAATATAATTAGATAAACGTAGATAAACAAACAAGAAAAAAGAAAAAAGACGAAAATAATAAATAGAAAAAAGGAAAAAAACCCTTGACTCTTCAAAAAAAAAAATCAAAAAACAAAACAAACAACCCTCCAAAGATAATAATAATAAAATAAATGAGTCTACCCTGAAAAAATCATCTGTGTTTTTGAATAGTGGTTTCTTTCCAGGGTCTGCAGTATTGGAATCCACCTGATATGAAAGAGAGATAGTGAGCCGCTGCTAAGACTTATGCTGTTTCCACACTGAGGTTTTGGTGTGTGAATGCTCAGTCCTGCCCTGCCTTTCCTGCTGGGTGTGGCTGGTCAGAGGTGTCTATCCTATCTATTTTAGCACCTCCCACTTTTCCTGTCCCTTTGTGTACTTCAAGTCTTGGCTTTCTCTGCCTAGCTTTAAGGTTCTTGGGTTTGTGAGGTGCTCCCCCTGCTGCTAAAACTCCTCTATACATTCTAGGTTGTGGACTGTCCAATCTGAGGTATAGTCTTCATTATGTTGGCAGATGAGGAAAACAAACATCAGGGAGCTCTTTGTAGGATTTAGGCAATGAGGTATCAGGGGAAGAATGTCAGTCCACTGGATTTAAGTCAACACTTTTGGACCCAGCCCCTTCTGAATGCCACATATGACCTGTGTGATTTCTCAGCTTAGAGACTGGGTCCTTCTGTTCTTCATGGCCTGAGTTTAAATTTCTCAGGGAGTCTCAGTCTAGTCCAGGTCTTCTGCATGACTGTCATTTGTGGGTACTTCCCACTGAGTCACTGTGGTAGGATGATAGGGACGATATAAGGACCTCCACATAATCCAAATAATAAAGGGGAAATATTGTAATTCTCAATATACTAGATATTCAATATGCTGAGTTCATGTTCACCAAAACTGAAGAATTAATTCTAAGGAACAGTGATGGTTGTGAGTAGGAAGTATTTTTAGAGGGAAAGGTACTTTCTGTTTAAGAGACAAAGGGTATCCTGAGTGAGTGGCTGGGGACCCCACTTCTCAAGAAAATTTTATAGAGCAAAATCATAGGGTGAGTACAAAATCATGAGGTGGGATAAAACTATAGTCAACCAATAAGGTTACAAGTATAGTTGCTAGGTAATATTGATCTAATGGGGAATCAAGTGTACATAGGATGAACAAGGACTTTTTCTGGAAGGGATGGGCCAGGGAAGTTTTGGTTCCTCATCCACAATGATTGATGTTTATTTAGGATATTAATCATAGTTACTCATTTCCCGGGGAAGTTGTAGGTATAGTTATTGTCTTTATCCCCAGGCCTGACCTTTAATGAAGGCAGCTCCAGCCACAGTTGTAATGTGTTCTCACCTTCTGCACTGACTTCACTGAGGACTTAGCCTTTTCTGCCTGCCTATAATATTTCTAACAAACTTAGCTCTATAATACCAGGAACCCCGAAGTGCATTTATTTTGCAGTTGTGCTGTAGCTCAGTCTTAAACAATTAATTCCTCCCTAAAATGGCTCCTGATAAAACACTCTCCAATATGGCAGGTACTACACTGGATTTCTTCTCCAACACCTTCTGTTCTGCCATAGGGAAGGAGCCATTTTTGGACTGAAGTTCCACATTGTTTTTTTGCAGTTTACAATCACTGTGGGCTTTTCTTGGAGTTAGCACTTCTAGCTCCATCTGTTGTTTCTCCTTAGAGCTGAAGAACCTCTCTGTGCTTACTTTCTATTAATGGAAACAGGTTTCCCTCATTGGGAGCAGTCTGGTTTCCAGACTGCTTTGCTTTTTCTCTGTATTCTGCTTCATTTCTCCAGCTTCTCTGTAGTTTCAAGCTTTTCCCTCAGCTCCCTCCTAAACCTCAGAGATCTACTCTTTTCTTTATCACGTTGTTTTCCAGGCATCTGGACACAGGTTCCCAGACAGGCTGTATTTTGCTGCTGGTCTTTAATCTACTATTTTTTTTTGTCTTTTTCCTTTTTATCGATACTGGGGATTGAACTCATGACTGCCTGCTTGCCAGGCAGGCATTATGCCGCTGAGCTAAATCCCCAGCCCCTAATCTACTGTTTTTAACGTCTTGGAACAAAATATTTTGTTGCTTAGAGAAAGGTGCTGCGTGAAGAAATACAGTAGTTCAGGATCACCTGAAGGCAACTGCCATTTCCAGAGAAACTCTCTGCAGAGGTGCATGTGCAGGGGTGTGTGTGTGTGTGTGTGTGTGTGTGTGTGTGTGTGTGTGTGTGTGTTGGAGCATGTTACTTCCTTGCTGCTACTTCCCTACCCTGCCCTCTAGTGGCCAGTGGCTGAGCTCTGGTTGCTAAATTACTTTTTTTTTTTTTTTTTTTTTTTTTTTTAAAGATAGTAAAATTCAAAAACACAAGACAGAACAAAGTCAATCAAGACAATGCAGCAAAATTGGTACAGTACTTCAGGGCAGGATCCCAGGGAAACAGTAATAGCTACTGTAATATATCTTGTTATCTTCCTTAATAGTTCTCCATTCAATCAGGTATAGCAAAATTGAACCCAAAATAGAGCACTATAAAACCAATCAAAACAGAATATTGAATAAAGCAAAAATAATTAATCAGAACAAAGCAAAACAGTGAAAACAATATTGGACTTCAAAGAAAAGATAGAAGGGAATCCCCCATATTTGCTATATTGCATATTGTCATCCTTCCAAGAGACGCTCAGACTGCTGGCCCCAGGCCTTCAAAATCAACCAAACAATATAAGCATTTAGTTGCTTTGTGTACCTTAGTTGCTATCAACTCAGGCAGCAGAACCATCTTGCTTATGGGGTAGGGGTGGAGGATAAAAAGTGTTTGATTCTCAGCCCCTCACAGGTAGGCTCATAGGTGGTGCTGACTTTTCTTTCCCTGGAACTTGCATGGCTTGTGAAGCTAACCAGGAAGGCTGCCTGGCTGAATTCTTGGTTGGTACCCCAAGTCCTAGCAGGGCTGGTTCTCAGGAGATGCTGACTTTTTATTTTTTCTTAAAAAAAAAGTTACCTTTCCTAGAGAGTGCAGTTCTGCCTTTTATAGTCAGGTCCCAAGTTCGTGCACACTAAACATAAGACGCCTTGCACTTTTATTATATGAGTAATAATATGTATACCTTTATGAAAAATCCTAACTAATCAATTTCCTCACTGATTAACCGAACTGTTTTTTTTTTTTTTTTTTTTTTTTTTTTTTTTTTTTTTGAGGCAGGATTCAGCCTGCTCTTGAACTTGCTACGTAGCCTAGGCTGGCTCCAAACTTGAGATCTACCTACTTCAACCTCCTGAGTGCTAGGATTGTTTGAGTCACTAAGTCCAGTATATTTTTGAAACTTTAACAAACATTTAAGGAGACTTTGCTTCCTGAAAGAGGAGGAAGTTTTTCATGCTTTTTCCATTAGGAAACATTGTATGTAAAACAAATACAGGAGGCCTCTGAAAGTTGGTAGGCAAAGGGGCCAGTTAGGACTCTGGGTAGGACACACTAGGAAAGTCTCTCTCTCTCTCTCTCTCTCTCTCTCTCTCTCTCTCTCTCTCTCTCTCTCTCTCTCTCTCTCTCTCTCTCTCTCTCTCTCTCTTTTTTTGTTTGCTCGAGGAATTGGTAAGTTTAGAAACACAGGCATAACAAATAAATGAATAAACAAAGTTGTGTCTTTGTAGTCTTTCTAATCATGGCCCAGGAAAGAGGAAGCCCAGTAGAACAGAAAACTTTTAAATAACTGTTCTACTTCAGTCAAACACACTGGACTTCTACCTCTGTGTGTTCCTCTCAGAGACCTGTGGGGTGCCTAGATTTTGCTCCTCCCTGAAGAGCTCATCACTGCTGCTGGGTGGCACAGGGAGGGTGAGGAGGGAGGCTGGGATTCCTCTCTTGCCTGGAAGGAAGGCTTTTGCTCTCCCTGCCATGTCAGCATGGACAATGTGGGTGGCCTGGGCTTGTACCCCAACCCTGTGGTATTAAGATGCCTCTCTCTCTTGCTGTGGGTGTGGTGAGAAGGCCTAAGGGAGGTCAGGACCCCTCCCTGTCCACCAGTTATGAGTGAATGGGAGCCATATGGGAAGTGGCAGAACATGCTTGCTTCTCCCACCTCGGAGCCATGGGCAGAAGCCTAGTAGGATCTGGAATTCCCACCTTCATCCAGCAGTAATGAGAAGCCTCTCCATATCTAGGAAGCCATGTTGAGTATTTGGCTTTCTAGCGCTACTTGGGAAAAGTTAGAAGTCCCCAAACTCCTGCCAGAGTCGTATAAGAGGAAACCTGCTAACACAGGGTTAAATAAATTCATCACCTTGTAATATCCCAAACATCAAGGCAAGACAGGCAGCAGTGCTGTAGTACATCCCCAAGGCTGCAGCATGATGGCTGCCCTATATCTACTGGCCAGTATGCAGTGGACAACTCCAAGCTGTCCATGGACCTGGAGTATGAACTCTGTCTCCTTACTCAGCCTCAGGCAGGCTCAGGTCCAGGAATGAGTGGGCCACTAAGTGATTCTAGGGCTCCCATGACATTGAGCCCTACATGCCCACCATCAAGAAACCCTGTGACTCCTTTGGTGGCTGTGATGCCATGTTCTCAGGTTCAGAGGAAGATACCATTGTGCCCCCAGCTGGCAAAGGTCCTGTTGTGGCCAGATGCTCCCCTGTCCCTGAGGCTGGGGCTGCACTGAGAACAAGGTCCCTGGGGAGCCATTCTCTAGGAAGGTTCCAGAAGCTGAGGAGGGTTCCCTGAGGGAATTTAAAGAGATATCTGTGCAGTATGACATAGGAGACTTTGGGCAGTGCTGGAAGAGACTGGACATGGCACCCTCGGCCAAGGCTGGCTCCCCAGCTAGGGCCTCGCACGATGCAGGTGGTTCAAGGAGGACAACCCAAGAAGAAGAATGTATTCCACTCACTTCCAGTCACAAGGACAAGTCCTGGAAGGAAACAAGTTGGAGAACTGGGGCTGATGTAGGGCTGGAATTGATCTGGGTCATGTAAGAGAAGCTGGCAACCCAGCAGCCCACAGCACAAGGAGAGTCTGTGCAGGACCAAGAAAAATCTGTCTTCAGCCACCTAGTGGCTAACTCAGGGAAACAGAGGATTGCCCACAGCTAGAGAAACTTGCTTCTGCCATGTGCCCAACCTTCACCTAGCCACAGCCCCACAAGTGCCAAGAGTACCTTCTTGGCCAGCAGCTGCCAAGCATCCCATGGACCCAAACCCAGAAGCCAATGCTGAGACCTGCACACCATCGGAGATGGCATCCAAGACCACCATCACCTAAGTGCGTGGCACAGTGCAGCTACAGGGTTTAAAGAAACCCATTATTACAAAAGAGTTTGGGGGGCAAAGTCCCCACTGTTACTCACCAGTGCTGTTTTACCCTGTTCATTGAGTGGCCTCTGGTTCTGGCCAGCCAACCAGGAGGTCATCCAGAAGGTGCCAAATGAGAAGGTAGCCTGCTACCACAGCCCCAGCAAGAACATCTATCTGGATGTAACTATGAACACATGAAGCTGGAGGATCTCATCTCTAGTGCTGTATTCAGCCTCAGCAGACCCAATGGTAGGAGGACTGGGTCCTAGATGGGTGCTGCGGGCAAGACGGCATCAAGACCCACTTGATCAGCTGGCCCAGCAGCCGCCAGGTGGCAGAGCAGAAGGGGGCCACCCTACACAGCAACCTCAGGGACACCTGCTTAGCCAGAAGCAACTCAGGAAGGACAGCCACCCCTTCTCCTATCCTGAGAGGCCAGATGGTACTGTCACTCACATCTGAAAAGAGCCCCAAAGACCCCTCCTGTAGAATCTGCTGCCACAACATGTGCAGGATAGGCAGAGGGCTTCATGAGGATCTTTGAGAAGGAACTTGGGGTCCTCACAGGGATCTATGCCCCTGTACTCACACAGGGATCTATGACCTCAACTGAGAGATGTGTTATATTACAGAGCTAGCTTGTGTTATGGTGAACATGGAAAGACATACAAGTGATATATGGCACCTTTGTCAAGCCTGGGAATGAGACTGTGGACTATAACACCAGGTTCTCCAGGATGGTGGAAGATGACCTCGTGGACATGAGCTTCATATTGCAGGATGTGCAGCCCATCCTGCTGAATATGGTAAGGGCCAAAATTGCTTTTATCAGGCATAACTTGGAGAGACCTACTGGCTTTGAGTGTCATCCATAGCACACGGTGGACATGGCTGTGCTGTTCCTATACCACCTAGGCCATCCCTGCAGGTACTCTTTCTGAAACTTCATACCTGACTGCCACAGACAGGATATTTGGATGAGTGCTTTTGCAGTGAAGATGTCAGCACCTGTATGTACCTGGTAATCTGGAATATCCAGGAGGATGCCAAGACTAAGTCATGATATGCTCTGCCCAGGCTACTTGCAAAACAGGGCAATAACTCTGAAAGCTAATCCTGTGCACTTAGGGAAACAAAGCACAGGTGGGCCAGACCCTGAGGCCAGCCTGAATCTCACCCCTGCTGTGACCCTCCCTCTTTCCCCCTTTTCCAGCCTCTGCTTCCCTGTCTATGTGTGGGGCAGTGTTGTGTCTTGGTCTTGTTTGAGACAGGGGCTGTATTTTTCTTTCATATTGTTATTTTTTATTGTTATTGCTTTTTATTTAAATCTGTTGGCTTGTTCAGTTACCATCTCTGCCCAAGAAGCACAACTCTGGCACTGTTTTCCTCCTTGGGAACCAGCGTGGGTGTGAGCCAGTTTCAAGCAGAGGCTACAGTGACCAAGCCCTGAGAGATGCCCCTCAAGCTTCTTCTCCCAGGTTCTCAAGAAGCCCTTCAGCATCTCCTTCTGGCCATCTTACACATGATTCAGCAGCAGATTTTGCAGGAGGCATTCTCTGGCCTCACAGGTTGCCTCAGAATGGCAACTTCCAAAGTTACCTCTCTAGTTCACCCTGACTTCTTATGTGATTTCCAAGAAGCAGCCAGCCCTGGCTGAGGGTGTTGCCTTTTGTAGGCCCCCTTGGCTTATGGTCTCTGGGACAGTCTTTTCACCAGAGCCACCCCTCTACCCCCATTCCAGAGGTTCTATGTAGGTCCCTCTCATCCACTGCCCCTGGGAAGGGATACATTAAATGTTTATATGGATGAGAGAGAGAGAGAGAGAGAGAGAGAGAGAGAGAGAGAGAGAGAGAGAGTAAAAAAGAAAGCTTTAGTGTGCCCTGCTCATTCAGGGACACAGAGGAAAATGTGTTTCCCTGAGTTTAGTCATCTATTAATGCAGAGGGCACTGCAGCCAAGATCCAAGGGGACCTGCTACTGAGCAGGCTAACACAAGACCTTAGCATCATCTAGATGGTGCTGGTTTTAAAGGCATGTAGAGTTTAGAAGTTAAGAGGTTGTGGAGTTTTCTACTCATATTTCACAAGGCTTGGGAGGCCAGGCAATGTGTCCCTAAGAGAGCAGTGACTAAAGTTTTGAGGGTAAAGTTGAGAGTTCAGTGGAGACTCCAGGCAGCTAGAGAAACCAGGAATGTGGAATATCTGCTGAGAAAAAAACACAGGCAGTGAGCGGAGCCACCCCAAGAAATAGGCCACAAAAGATGCAACTGTCAGTGCTGTAAGTGCAGGGCTGCCCAAGCCCCTGGGGGAGCACATTTCACCTGCAACTTGCCTGGGTGCTGGACATGGAACCACAGGGCCTAATGTTTTCCCTGTGAGGTTTCAGTCTTACTTTGGTTCTATTCCCCTATTCTCCCTTTCAGAATGGGAATGTTTACCCTGTGCCATTGTATGTTGGCAGTGTTTAACTTTCTTTCTGAGTTTTGCAGGGGCTCACAGCTGTGCATTAGCTTGGAGACTCAGAGGAGACTTTGGACTTAGACTTTTCAGCAGTGCTGGGACCCTTAGGACTGGTGACTTTTAGAAATGGACTAACTGCATTTTCACAATGAGATGAACATGACTTTGGGGGTCCAGGTAAAGAATGTTATGGTTTAGATCTAGAGTGTCCCCCATAAGATTCAGGTGTTCAGAGAAAGGGCTTTTGGAAGGTGATTCAGTCACAGAAGTGCTATTCTCATTGGTGGATTAATCTGTGAATGAGTTCAAAGTTAACTGTGCTATTAGAGTTAGGGACTGGTAGTAAGAGGCAGGTCAGTAGGGGTCTGGGCATGGTGGGTTTATCTGTCTCCCTGGCTCCTCTCTTTGTTCTTTGCTTCCTGGCTGCTATGAGATAAATGCCCTTCCTCCACCATGGCCCTCTGCCATATTGTTCCTGCCGTGGAGCTAATTGACAAAGGACTGAAACTATGAACCAAATAAGCTTCTCCTCTTTTAAATTATTAGCTTTGGGTATTGTCTTAACCCCCAGAAAAGTAATTTAGGGAATTAATGGTAATGTAATTTTGCTGTAATTAATGTTTGAGAATTTAAACATTTACTAGAGTTTTTGATCATGGTTGGTAAATCAACATTTCTGGAATACACCGACAACAAACACCTGTGAAATATATACCGAGACTGTATTTTACTTGGCACCACAACAAACCTCAGCAAGTTTCAGAGGATCAAAACGAGGTACAGTGTATTCTCTGACCACCTGGAGCCAGACTGTATATCCAAAACAGAAACAATTTTAAAAATTTCAAGCCTCTTCAAATTTCAAATCTAAGGTAAGTTTGGAATAAATGAAAAACTGTATACTGAATGGAATAAAGTAAAAAATACAGACTACCACAGCTAATGCCCAGAGATAGAAATAAAAACTTATGTCCACACAAAACATGTACACAATAATTTATAATAGTTTTGTTTGTATTAACAAAGAAGTGGAAGCAGTAAAAATGCCCTACAATGGATAGATGGTAGACACAATTGTGGTATTCAAGCCATGGAATGTCAATCAGGATTGAAAAATAATGAACTGTTTGTTGATACTCACAACTTTGCTATGACAAGGTACAACATTATAAAGTCAATAAAATTACACAGAAGTATAGCCAGAAATTTTGTGTTGAGAGGACCAGAGAAATGGGTGTGTCTGTAACTCCTAGTTTGTTTCTCTTGTTCACTGAATTGGGCTCACACAGTTAACAGCAATGTAAGAATACACATTCCAGCTAAACTGTCCATCAGTGTCCATTATTGGATGTGCCTTATGTATAGACTCACCAGTGTCTCTTTACTGTATACAGAATATAAAGAGAACTTCATTTAAGGGTGCATGCACTTTAAAATTTATAAATTGGACTCAAATTGGTGTACCAGTTTAAATTCCCACATACTCAGAGGTGTGTCCTTTATGGAGTTTTCTTTCTGTATGTCCTCTCCAAATATTTTTGAGCCTTGCCATTTTTTTTTGCCAGTGAAGTGAATAATACATTATATTTCACTTCTGGTTTAAAATGCCTTTTTGCATTTCCTGATCACTAATTCCTATTGACATTGAGGCCTCATCTGTAGAGAATTACCTGTGTTACAGATGGGTATTGTGTCTTGAGATGTCCTAGGTCCCTCAAGACACAATACCCAATACCCAAAATTCTAAGGATTAAAGGTTTGTTTTAATTTGCAGTTTGTAGAGGTTTCAGCCCATAGTTGGCTGAGTTAGGGCCAGGGAAGCATGTAGAGGAGGAACGGCTTATGGCATGGTGGTGAAAAGAGAAAGTGGAATGGATAGGGAAGAGATAACCCTTGTAGACCAAGCCCTAGGCGATCACCTCTTCAGTGATGACCTTTCAGAAGAGTTCATCTATAACCTTGTCAGTGAGGAATCCATCGACGAGTATCATGCTCCTGTTGTTCAGTCATCTCCCCACAACCCCATCTATGAGCACGTGGGTCTTTGTCCTTTGCTCTCAGTGACCCCAGACAGGTCAAAAGCGATCTGGGAAGGTTTTCAGACAGTCTTGATGAGTATGTTGAGGTTTTTTAGAGACTTGCTCAGATCTATGAACTGGACTTGAAATATACAATGTGGCCTTTAGGTCAAACATTGACTTCTAGTGAGAAATAAGTGGCATTACAGGCTGCTATTCCATTTGGAGATGAATATCATCTAGTTCATTTTAAAAGTCCAGAAGGGAGACAAGGGGACAGCCAATCCCTACTGGAGTTCAGGTATTCCCGATACAAAATTTTCACAGGTGTAAAAGTTTTTTCCCCTTCTGATCCTTATTAAAATTGATTTGTGTTAACTGATGACCTATAAGAAAATTTCTGACTAGTCTATTTATAGTTACAAACCTAAAAATTGTATAAGTTATTGTGATTGAACATGGCGAAATACATCTGAGCATGTACTCTGATTTAAATGTAATTGTTGTAGTCAGAGGTTGTGAGGGGAACAATTAGAATCAGGACACAGAATTTATAATATTGTTTTATGATGCTCACCCAGAGTTAAACACAAAAGAGTTCAGGAAATCTGTACACAACACTAAAGACATAGAATATTCAGTCAATGGCCTGGATCCCACAGCAGTGTCCTGCATGAGTCCAGATGAAAGCCTAGAGCCCATGACAGTGCCTCCCATGAGTCCAACTGGAGGTTTGGAGCCCACGAGAAGGACTCATGCCAGTCTGTTTTATGGATCTGTGCTGAGAAGGCCCAAAGGTCAGCAGTGGAAGCTAGAAAGCCTATGCCAGTGGTGTGAAGGAGCTGTGCTGGTAGGTTGAGGGTTCTATACTGGAACCAAGAAATCACGCTCAAAACAAGGACCAGGGCTTCCCTGAAAAGCAGCACAGCCATCCTCAGTGATATGGTGGTCCCAAGCTCTTCCAATGATAAGAACAGTTGAGTATATGCCAGAAAGCTGACGTGATGAGTTTGTCCTGGAGATTAAACAGCACAAGTCTTCCCCTCTGGGGAAGTGATGCTTGATATAAGGACCCGAACTCCCCCAAAGTGAACCACAGCCACTCTCATCAACAAGGTCCCGAGCTCCTCCAATGACAGTGGTCGAACTCACACTGGGGAAGCCAGTCATGATGAGCTTCCCCAGGAGGACCCAGAATGCCTTTCCTTTCTTTTTCTCCACATTTCTATTTATGCTGGCAGCTTTCCTCAGGTGGGCCATCTATACTTAGCACCATGCCGATTTAATTCAGCTGGTATTAAGTTGACCACCAGTTTTTAATTCATAACAGTAATCATCTTGTGTATGCTTGCCCATCTGTCTCTTTAATGTGTGTTGATAACTGCTTAAAACAACTGCACTTGCTTCATTTAAGAAAAAAAATTTGAGCTAAAAATTTTTTATTTTTGGTTCTTTTTGAGATTTCCATGGAAAGAAAGTTGACTTTTAGATAGCCAAATTTACCTAAAACACTAACATATGAGAACTGATAGTCTCAAGGCTAACACAAGACCTACAAATGAGAGACTTAAAGTCTGATAACATGAGAGTCCTATATGATTGGGTTACTGTATGTTTCTGTATGTCAATTTTAAGGTATATGTTCCATTTTGGTTGATATATAGATAAATAGATACTCATGATATGCCCAAATACCTTTGTTCACAGGGTTAACAGTGAGTTAATGAGATAAAAATAAAGATGTCTTTAAAGTTGGTAACATATTTCCATTCAGCTTGTTAGTTAACCAAGATGGTATCAAAAGATTGGTTTCGTAAATGCAGTGTGTGTAGTTTGTCTATATTAACTGAAGAGTTTTTCCTTGGTTAAAGATAATATGCATAGTTTAAAGTGTTTAAATGTTATGATTTGGTTCTCATGAGTCATCAAAGCAATTGTTAAGATGTATTTAATTTGGTTATAATTAAAAGGTTAAGCTTTCTATGTCTAAAAGCAATAAGGTTTTCTTATTATATTGAAATGCTCTTGGATAAATTTATAAACTACATTTAAAGCAAAAGTTTCTATATTTTATTTAGCTAAGTTTCTAGTATTCTCATTGTTAGGCTTTTGATTACTAAAAAGTGAGCTTTAAGAGTTAAAGAGTCTTTAAATGTTGACTTACTGTTTTCAATAATCAGTTTATGATTGGTTCAATAAATAATTATCTTAGTTCATGACATAACATATATTTGGACACACATATAAGTGTATTCATCTAAATCAAGGGTATGCTGTAAGCTAAGCTTTAAAGTTCAGTTTATAGAGTAAAGACTGTGTAAATCTGATACATATGAATTGACTAATAAGTGCTACATTATACAGTGTATGTTTAGCCCTTAAACATATAAAATGATCAAAATTTGACATCTCTTTAAATTTGGTTCTGACATTTAAACTTAATTTACATCTATTGGTTCTGATTAGACAAGCATTTTGTTATTGAATAAGTGAGACATGATTGTGTATCAGGTAATAAGCCTACTTTTGATCATGTACACTGTTTCCTAAACTTATCAGAGCTGAGATGATGTTGCTAATTTTTGTTCATAAAGTATTGTTAACCTTGTGGTATACTAAGTGACACATTTGTGTTTCTGAAGCATATAAGCCTTCAGAGATGTAAAACTGAAAATACCATTGAATGACTTCCAGGTTAAGATGTTTATGGTGGTAAACTTTTCGGGCTCAAACATCTGGCATTGCTTTATTTATGTTCCAGCCATTTGTGACAAAAACTACATGCTGATCCAACATGGGATAGCCATCCATCTGATGTGGCTACACTTTCAAGCTTTTACATGTGTGATTATTATGTAATTGTGTTATAAAAAGTACCCTAAACACTGTGCAGTCCAGACAATGTCATTCTAATGATAAGAGATTAGACAGAATAACTTGTGAAGTACATTTATAAACATGTACATTCTACTTACACATTATTCTGACAATAAAAGATAGTTAAAAGATAACAAATTAAGTAAAAGTTTCTTTATGTCATTTAGTATCTTATACTTGGGTGAAGATAATTGACTAAAAGGGTATTCTATACTAACATGGACATTTAAATGTGCTTCAGGAATAGTAATGTCATTGTAATTGTCATGCTAAAATCCTATGTAGCCTTTGATCTCAATTTTTTTCTGTAAAATTTTGTAACATTCTGCAGAGATTCAACTTCTAAAAGAATGATGATTGATAAAGACATAAGAGTTCATCAGTCGAGATGCTAGAATTTAACACTATGGAGAAAACCAGATGAAAGGAGAGGGATTATCATGACTCAGGAAGAAAATAAAGAAAAAAAAAAGAAAAATATGGACAGAAGGCTGGAGCCAGACACACTCTTACTGGAGCTGGTCCCACACTGTCCCGGGCACCTTGGAGTCCGATGACTTGTGGTTATGCTGAAGTCCGGGGTTGGTGAGCCCAAGGACCTCAGTTGGAGAACATGTCACAACAGAGAATGGAGCCAGTGTGGAGATCTGCATGACTAGCCTGCAGTGAGTGCTTGGAACTTGGTCCTTCCACAGGAGGGGGTGATCAGATGGGTGACATATTAGAATCACACAGGATGAGCCTGAACCTGGAACCATAGTGACTTCAGTTGGCTGCTCCTGGAGCAGATTGGTGGGAACACCTTAGACTGGTTCATGTCCCTGAATGGGAAGAAGCCAGGGACGAAGTTGCCCCTGAAACTGTCCTGAACCAGTTCCGTCTGCATGGCACACACTAACATGATGAAGACCCTCAGTGCTTGTCTGGTTTGGAGGGGAGGGGCCAGCCTGTACCACTCCTGCTTATACCTCAGTGATCAACAACAAACTGCAGAGGGCAGCAATCCCTAGCCAGCATGCTTCAGAGCAATCATAACCAATACAGAAAGGGACCTCCACTATACACTTTTCTGGAAGAAACCAGAAACATGACAAGAGAAAGAAACAAAAACAATCCTCCAGCCACCAACCCATGGAATTTAGGTCCAGGAGAGGTAAACACAGAAGAGATTGAGGCCAGCAAATGTGCAATATTGGAAACAGCATCAGCTTACATAAAGAAATATCTTTGTGATATTATAGAAGCACTCAAAACAGAAATACTAATACAAGTAAAGCAAGATATAAGAAGATTAATAAAAGAACTGCTAAGCACCTCTCAAGAAGACACAGATGGAAGAATAGTGGAACACAGACAAAGGAGAGACACCTTTAATGAAGAATATAAAAAAATCTAGAATACATGAAACAGATTCAAAAAGATTACCAGGATATTAAAAACTTCATGAAAGCTGGCAAAATTGCTTGAAAGAAACTAAAGGTAGACTACCATACTTTGAAGACAATGTGTGATCTCAAAAGGAAAGATCTCTTAAAAATTAACAAGGAACCAGGAAGTAACAATACAAAGGCTAGAAGATGACAAAAGTATCTATAACTTTAAGAATGAAAAATGTGAGTGAAGAATCAGGGGTAAGTACAAATGAAATACAAAGGCTATTTGTATTTTCCTTAACTATTTACAGAAATAGTTAAGGAAAACTTCCCAAGCATAAGAAAAGGAAATGATATTCAGATATATGAGGCATACAGAACTCCAGCCAGCTGCAACCAAAACAGACCTACACCCAGACAAATAATAATCAAGATCCCAGAAATTCATCACAAGAACAGAATATTAAAAACTGTCAGAGAAAAAAAAAAACAGATAACCTATAAAGGAAAACCAATCAAAATCACAACAGACTTTTGATCAAACCATCAAATCAAGAAGAGATTGGATTCTGGGAAAACATGGCGGACAGATAGCAGCAGCTACGGAGGCTCTCTGAAACACCCACCTTAGAATTCAGGAATGGTGCAGAGTAAGGAATCATAAGCAAGTGGAGATATGCCCTGCTGACTCAAGAATGAACTGGGCTGAGAGAAACCAACTGGGAATGCAGTCCTGGTGCGATAACAGGAACAGATAAAGCCTCAGCGTGAAAGCTGGAGCCCGCACCATTGGAAGCCGCAATTTGGGTTTCCCACCGCAAGGCGGCTGCGTCTACATCAGCTCAGCAGGGAGAGAGACACGCGGAAGCTCTGAGAATGGGAATCGGCGAACGGAGTTGAAAACAGGACGGGCGGGGAGCTGTGCATTGACTTGCGGTGAGGTGAGTGAGAGATACTGACACTCTTCCACAGTTTAGGAGACTCCAGCGGAGGACATTCTGGGACTGGGCAAACTTGTGGGAGTGGGGCACTACAGCGACTTCAGCCACATATCCCCCTCTCAAGTGGGATTAGTGAGAAGTGCCTAGCCTACGTGACGCTGCTGGCTGAGACCCAGTAGGCTAGCACAGCCCAGATCCCAGTGCCTGAGGGTGACCTGGAGGGGCGGGCCCCGTGTAGGCTGCCTGGTCTGCAACTTCCTGGTGTTGCTGCAGTGGGTGGGAACACTTAGCTGGCACAATTCGATCTGGCTGTGGCTGACAGGGAGGGAAGCTGGGCCTCCTATATATGCTTGCATATATAAGGAACAAAGAATATGGGAAGAGGGAGCAACAAGAAAAGCCCTTCAGCCCCCAATCCTGAGAAACAGGCAATAGCAGACATCGCACCAATAGACATAAAGCGCCATCTAGAGAGCCTCATAGATGAGTTCAGGAATGAAGTTATTAATGACCTGAAGCTAGAAATAAGCAGAATAGTTAGAGAAATGCTAAGCACCACCCAAGAAAAAACAGATAGTGGAATGGAAGAACAGAAAAAGAGGGGAGAATTGTTTGATGGAGAAAATAGAGAAAGCATAGAATACGTGAAGCAGGTTCAAAGAGACTACCAGGAGACTAAAAACTCCATTGAAAACTGGCATAACAGCTTGAAAGAAACAAAGGACAGACTATCTGAACTGGAGGGCAGATTTGTAATATGGGAGAATGAAATGAAAAACTTCTTAAAAGTAACAAAGAAACAAACAGCAATAATACAAAGACTAGAAGATGATAAGAGGATCCATAACTTAAGAATTAAGAACATACCAGAAGAGGCAGGGACACAAACCAAATGAACTACAAAAGCTACTCATAGAAATAATCCAGGAGAATTTTCCTAATTTAGCAAAAGGTAAAGATACTCAGTTGTATGAAGCATACAGGAACCCAGTCATCTACAACCCAAACAGAGCAACACCCAGGCACATAATAATTAAAATTCCAGAAATTCAATAAAAGAACAGAATATTAAAAGCTGCCAGAGACAAGAAACAGACCACTTACAAGGGAACACCCATCAGAATTACAGCAGATTTCTCTGCACAAACCATCAAATCACGAAAAGCGTGGGGGGAAATAATTCAAGCTTTGAAAGATAATAATCTCCAGCCAAGATTGATATATCTTGCACAACTATCCCTGGAAATTGATGGAAAAACAAGGTGCTTCCAGGATAAAGAGGAACTAGGGGAATATGCAACCACCAATTCAACTCTACAGAGAGTACTACAGGATATTCTAAAAAAGAAAAATATGAAGAATCCAGAAATAGTGGCAGAGAGGCCACAATGAATGGAGCAGAAAACAAAATGAAGAAGACAAACTGAGAACTAATGACAGAAAAAGAGCTCAACAGAAATGAGGCAGAGAAGATTGGATGATAGGAACAGCTATTTTGGAGAAAATGACATCTTAATAGGTAATACTGATTTAGTATCATCTTGTTTTGAAGTCTCATCAAGCTTTTGTTCTTCTGTCTCCATTGGTCTAAACAGGTTGTACCTTATTGGATTTTATTATGTATGATAGTATAAACAAAAACTTTTATAGACAAGGAGATTATACAGAAACCATTGTTTATTTTCTGTTAGTTGATTCTAAATACCCTGTAATACTGTCATTCTCTTAAACGGTTTTACATTGTTTTGATATATTTGATGCTACAGTATACGAAGTTATACTCAAAGGTTTCAAGGAAAGAGACAACATGGTAACTACTTTTATGTCGGGATTATCTTGTGGTGAAACACTATTTTGCTTAAATGGTTATGTTTTGATCTGCGCTGTTTTGCTCTTATGCCCTCTTTTATCTCAATCTCCACTTTATTATTTACTTTTTTATTTTTATCCTTTTAATTAAGGGAAAAATAAATAAAAAATAGCAGGATATATTATAGTAACCCACTTTGACTTTCCAATATCTTGATTCAAAGCCCTGTATTGCTCTCACCATCTTGTTTTGACTGATGTCCCTCTATTCTGTTTTGCTTGATAGTACCAGGTTCAAAAGTTTAGGCAACAGCTGTGAAGATAGTGGGATTCATTATGACGCCCATTCTGGTTGACTATTATCTACTTTTGAAGATCTATAATGTCTCCAATGTTTTGGTTTTGTCGGTTTTGTTCTTTACTGTTTTGTTCAATTTTATTATAACTGATTATATAGGCAATTCTATTAGAGATAGTGGGAGGCATTAGGGTAACCATTACTGATCACCTTGTATTATGATTTTACATTATCTATTATGTCCACCCTTTTGATTTGACTGACTGTGTTCTGTTACGTCACATTTGGTTCTACCCTCTTCCAAAAAAGTAATAAGAACTGTGGGAGCAACAAAACCCAAAATGTGTAATTGTCATTGTATAAAGGAGAGGAAAACAAAGTGCTCTAAATGATATAACTGCATGAATATTTAAGTGTATAAGATAAATAATGATATCACTGAGTTTTGTTGGATCATTGAACAGAACTGTTTGAAGTCTCACTGTTGGAATGTCCACTTTACAAGCTTTAATTTTGTGACTTGAACAATTATTTCTAAGATGATAATATGTAATCCATTAACTTGTGATTTCCTACTGTTTATTTTTTTCTGTAAATCTGTATAACTTGTACCCTTTCTCTGCTTTTTTTTCTCCTTAAATAAAATTTAAAAAAAAGAAGAGATTGGAATGAAGTATTCCAAGCCCTGAAAGAAAATAACCACCAGCCCAGGTTGATGTACCCTACAAAACTATCTCTCAAAATTAATGGGGAAACAAGATGCTTCCATGACAAAGAGGAACAAGGGGAGTTTGTGACCACCAATCCAACCCTACAAAAAATGCTGAAGGACATTTTAGAGAGAGGTAAAAAAAAAACACACCAAGGTTTCAGGAACAGTGGCAGAGAGGCCTTAATGAATGGGCCAGACAGTGGATTGAAGGGGAAAAGTTGACAACCAATAGCAGAAAAATAGCATAGTGCCGACGAGGCAGAGAAGGTTGGCTATAATCTGTAACACAGATGGCCTTGATACACTAACAAAAAGAAACACAGGCAGAATAGATCAGGGGATAGGGTCCATCAAGATGCTCTGTATAGGAAATACAATCAACCTGAAAGAGGGTTTATGGTCTAAAAGTCAAAGATGAGAAAATAATGCTCTATGTGACAGGGAACCAGAGAGAAATAGGGGCAGCTTGCCCAGCAGCTACAGATAGGTTGGAAAGACATGACCTTTTTGTGCAGTGGAGTGCTACTCAGCTTTAAGGAAGGAAAACCTTGAGGCTGTTGCTCAGGAATAAAAAGGTTCAGAACTACTTAGGTACATGGTGGGTTGCCCCACCAATCTAAAAATTAAAGAAGTTAGTGGGACCCAAAATGTACAATGTACCCTGTGAAAGTGAAAGGGGAGGAACTGTCTAAAAAAGGAAGGCAGAGGCCATTGTTAATATTGTATCAGGATTTAAACCCACGTTATTCTCATCACTCTGTTTAATTTGATTATTTTCTGTTCTAGTCTGTCCACTTGTACTAGATCTGAGGGTATAAACAGCTATTCCAAAAATAGCAGGATATACTACGGTAACCATCCGTAGTTTCCTATTAACTTAATCTGAAGTCCTGTATTACTTACACTGTCTTATTATTACTGACCTTATTTGAATCTTGTTTGTTAGATCACTGTCTTGCCTTGACTGATTTAATTCAAACTTGTTATGCTTGATAATATCAGATCTGAGAGTATAAGCAACTACTCTGAAGATGACAAGAGTCACTAGGATGCCCATTCTGGCTTAACTATTACCTGCTTTTGAAGTCCTGTAATGTATCCAATGTTTTGTTTTTATTGAGATTGTTATGTACTGCTATGTTCAATTTTACTGTGCCTGATGATAGAGACAATTCTATAGAAGATAACAAGAGACATCATAGTAACCATTGTAGATCATCTTATATTTGATTTTAATCTTGTGTTATGTCCATCCTTTTGTTTTGAATGACCCTGTTTCATGTTCTTTGTCATTTGGTTTTGTTCTTTTTAAAATAAAATACATTAAGAAAAGTTCATCAGCCATGCTATGTAGTTCACAGTGCTCGGTATTTAAATAAAACCAAAGTTAAACCTACTACTTCTATTATAATTCTGATGGAACCAATCTCATCTTCTGGGTTTTCAACCACTGAGGTTGGGAGACCAAAACTATAATGATAACTGGGTTAAGAATGAAACTAGTATTTTGGCCCCAGTTGTCTAAGATCAACAGGGACCCAGGACATGAAGAAACTTTTTCTACAGGATCCTACAACTTTGGTGAGTCACTCAACCTCATGAGTAGGGACATTGGTGGCCTCCAGAGGACAGGAGGCAACCCATGCACAGTGTGCCAAAAAGGAGGGTGACCAAAGAGAGATGTCCATGCTTCTTCGGAAAGCCCCTTGACTTGTCTAGGCAACTGACACTGACAGAGGAGTTCAGAGACTCCATGAATTAGTCCAAAAGTAACAGCTGAGGAAAATTAACTGATCTTGATAAGATAACAAGAGGTTAATTTTGTTTGACAAAAGTCTCACTTTAAGTTGGTCTTAAACACCCAGAAAATCATAACCAAGAAGTGTGTAAATGTAATACTATAGTAATGAAGGATAGATACAGAAAAGGGACTCCAATAACTGACCCCTGCTAGCAGCTTTCAGCTACACCTGTAGCTGACCACGTTATAGTTTAATGAGGCTAGAAAGCAACCATCATACTTCTAGAAGCTCAACAAGTGTCTTTAAATTCCTTTGAATTCCTTAAATGTCCTTTGAAACAATCTCTTGCAGCTAAAACTGGAGCAACTTGTGACAAAAGAAAAATTAGATTTATAGATAACTTTGATCAGTGGAGAGGTCTAGCTGATTACAGACATTATTCCAACCCCTTGGGAGCAGTGTATAGACATGGCTCTTTTCCTCAGTTTGCCTTTCCATTCTAGTGCTTATGATTTGACTGTATGTACTTTAATATTTTGGGGAAATTAGTTTATTTTTGCTTAGAGGCTGCCAAACTCCAAGTGATTGTACAAATGGAACCAGTGACAAATGTGCCAGACTCCATATACTGGGATCCACTAGATCAACACTGTAAAAAGTTCTTAACTTCTAAGCTGCAATATGACTTCTGTCCAAGGACCCTTAGAACTCTCTGGAGAAGGCCATGATTGTCTCTCTTACACTGACTTATCTTAGCTTGAAGCAGCTAGACTGAAATTTCACCAATTCTTCCTTAACTATTATAGGGATAGCTCTCCAGAGTGGGTAATGTTACAGGCAGCTAAGTTAGGAATTAATTGAGAGTCAGAGTAGGCCCTTGTAGGAATCAGTGTAGAAGCTAAGAACACATAGCAACTGTGGCTGGAGCTGCATCTGTTGAAGGCCAGGGATCAAGATAAAGATGCAGTGACCAAGCTACATACCTCCCTCAGGGATAAACAATAACTTGAGATGCGATTTTTTTATCATCTGATCTAGTGAAGTCTTGGTAGACATCAGTCACCCAGGTGGGTGACCAAAGCGTCTTGACCCAGTGCATGGATCACTGTCCTATTAGATCAATATTAGTTAAGTGGTTATATATACTTATAGTCCTATAGGTTGATTGTAGTTTGGCCTACATTGTACCCACAATGTGACTTTGCTATATAAATTACCCTTGACAAAGGGCCTCAGGGGTAACCCACGTCCAGGCCCCCTCCTGTCTCCCAGGAGCTATCTCCCAGTAAACTTTGCTACTCTTCATTTCCTTTATCTTTTGGAATTCATTCTTTGATTTCAGGGGATGTGAAATCAGCATGTCTGACATCTAGTAGGTCAGGAGTTGTATTTTTGCAGGATTTAAGAGATAGGAGAGACAAATGGGGAAAAACAAGAGGACTTTATTTTTAGGTGTACACTGGCTCAGCTGAGAAATCCAGAATGGTTGAGCAAAGGACAAAGGACAGGTTTCAGTTTTTATAAATTTGGTCAAGGGGTTGGTCTTCGGCATGGAACTTGTGGGCAGGTAGAGGAATAAGGCAGTTTTGTGAAGGTGTGACAGTTTTGTATCTTGGTGGCCCTGCTGGGACATAACAGGATGTTGCAGGAACAGGAAGTTATAAAATTTAACTTACGGGGACAAAAGTTACAGCTTCAATATTATTCTTATATCCATACTACTGATAAATTTAGGTATAATTAGGATACTTTTAGAATTTGAATGATAGGGGTTGTGGGCTGGATATCTCTCTAAACGGTTCCCTTGTATGAAAGGTTTGGTAGTTGGTGGACATTTGGGAGTGATTTGGAGAATTCTGAAATATTGTCAGACCTCAGGCTGGCCGTGTCCTTAAGGCAGACTCATGTGGGATTCTGAAGACCAGGAAAACACCTGAGCTATGAGGGGAAAGTTTGAGGTAGGACATGAGATCTCCAGGGAAAGAGTTTTAACAGATGAAGGCAGTCTGGAGCCCAGAACTAACCCAGTGTATAAAGGCTCAGCTACCAAGACAAATGGAACCAAGAAATTGAGGATGTTCCAGGGCCAAGGCAGTATTTTAAGAATGGCTTCTTAGGGATTCTGGAAGAACATGGCAGATAGATAGCAGCAGCCTCTGAGGCTCTCGTAGAAACTGCACTTGAAATCTAGGAATGGTGCTGGACAGGTGGTCCCAAGCAAGGGGGAATATTCTTTGCCGACCCAGGAACGAACTAAGTTAAGAGAAACCATCTGGAAACGCAATCCTGGTGAGACAGCAGGCACAGATAAGGTCTCAGCATGGAAGCTGGATCCACGCCACTGGAAACTGTGATTTGAATTATCTGCAGCCACTGTTGCATCCCGGTCAGCACAGCAGGGAGAGAGGCGCAAAAGCTCAGAGAGTGGGAAGCGTTGAAAGGAGTTGGGAGCAGGACTGGCTGGGTGGCCTGCATGGACCTGCGGTGAGTGAGCGAATCGGTACCCTTACATAGGGAAGGAGGCTTCAGCAGAGGACATACTCAGACCGGGCAGACTTCCCGGAACGAGAAGCTGCAGTGACTTCTGTCACATATTCCCCTTTCAAGTGGGATAGGTGGGGAGTGCCTGGCCTGTGAGACGCCACTGGCTGAGACCCAATAGGCTGGGACCCAACTCAGGTCCCAGCGCCTGAAGATGCACCCTAGAGGTGAAGCCTTCGGTAGGTTGACCTGGAGGGGCGGGCCCAGCATAGGCTGCCCAGGTCTGTGTCTCCCTAGTACATTGCAGTGGGCGGGAACACCTAGCTGGCGCAATTCAAACAGACTGTGGCCAACAGGGAAGGAAGCTGGGCCTCCTATACACACTTAAATATAAGGAACAAAGAATATGGAAAGAGGGAGCAACAAGAAAGGGTCCTCGGACCCCAATCCTGAGAAACACGCAATAGCAGACACGGCACCAGTAGATATAAAGCGCTATCTCGAGAGCCTCATAGATGAGTTCAGGAATGAAGTTATCAATGACCTGAAGCAAGACATAAGCAAAATAGTTAGAGAAATGCTAAGCACTGCCCAAGAAAAAACAGATGGTGGAATGAAAGAACAGAAAAAAAGGGGAGAATTGTTTGATGGAGAAGATAGAGAAAACATAGAATACATGAAGCAGGTTCAAAGAGATTACCAGGAAACTAAAAACTCTATCGAAAACTGGCATAACAGCTTGAAAGAAACTAAGGACAGATTATCTGAACTGGAGGGCAGATTTGTAATATGGGAGCATGAAATGAAAAACTTCTTTAAAATAACAAAAAAACAAACAGCAACAATACAAAAACTAGAAGATGATAAGAGGATCTATAACTTAAGAATTAAGAACATAAGAGAAGAAGTGGGGACACAAACAAATGGACTACAAAAGCTATTCACGGAAATAATCCAAGAGATTTGGCAAATGGTAAAGATACTCAGATACATGAGGCATACAGGACACCAGCCACCTACAACCCAAACAGAGCTACACCCAGGCATATAATAATCAAAATTCCAGAAATCCAATATAAGAACAGAATATTAAAAGCCATCAGAGACAAGAAACAGATCACTTACAAAGGAACACACATCAGAATTACAGCAGACTTCTCGGCACAAACCATCAAATCACGAAGAGTGTGGGGGGAAATAATTCAAGCTTTGAAAGATAATAACCTCCAGCCAAGATTGATATATCCTGCACAACTGTCCCTAGCAATTGATGGAAAAACAAGATGCTTCCAGGATAAACAGGAACTAGGGGAACTTGTAACCACTAATTCAACTCTACAGAGAATACTGCAGGATAGTCTAAAAAAAGAAAATACCAAGATTCCAGAAATAATGGCAGAGAGGCCACAATGAATGGAGCAGAAAATGAAATGAAGAATGACAGACAACAAATGACAGAAAAAGAGCTCAACAGAAATGAGGCAGAGAAGATCGGAAGGTAGGAACAGCAATTTTGGAGAAAACAAGACATCATAATAGCTAGTACTGATTTAGTATCATCTTGTTTTGAAGTCCTATCAAATGTGTATTCTTTAGTCTCCATTGGTCTTATAAGGTTGTATCTTATTGGATTTTATTATATATGATAATATAAGCAAAAACTTTTATAGACAAGGAGTTTATATAGAAACCATTGTTCATTTTCTGTCAATTGGTTCTAAATACTCTGTAATAATGTCATTCTCTTGAATGGTTTTATAGTGTCTTGATATGTTTGGTGCTACAGTATAAAAAGTTATACTCAAAGATTTCAAGGAAAGAGACACTATGGTAATTATTTTTATGTCAGGATATCTTGTGGTGAAACACTGTTTTGCTTAAATGGTTATGATTTGACCTGCGCTGTTCTGTTGTTATGCCCTCTTTTATCTCAATCCCCCCCTTTTTAATTATTTACTTTTTTCTTTTTCTTTTTTTAATTAAGAGAAAAATAAATAAAAAATAGCAGGATACATTATAGTAACCTACTTTGATTTCCTATTAACTTGATTTGAAATCCTGTATTGCCCTCACCATCTTGTTTTGACTGATTTTCCTCTATTCTGCTTTGCT